AAAAATTGTTACTGGGAGTTTTTTTGCCCCTCCCTTGCGTGACATAGCATGTTTTGTTTCAAAATTCTTCGAGTCTTCAGCGTGTAACAGCGAGGGTTCCCTCGTCCTCTGGCAAAATCCAGATGCAAAAAACACTGTCAAGTGTGATCTGCAAAAAAGATACTAAATAAGTACAATCGCCTTAAGCTGTAGACTCCAAAATACACTGTCTTGTATAAAAGTATTGTCCCCAGCCCTCCATATCATAGTGATTCAGGTGTTCCAATCCCCTCCATATCATGTGAATTCAGTGTTCCAATCCCCTCCATATCACATGTGGGGAAGGGAATTCAGTGTTCCAATCCCGCCTCCATGGGCACAGGTGTACTATACAATTCAAGCCCCTAGGCATGCAGACTGCTTCTACAAACATTGTGAAAGAATGGGTCACTCTCAGGGTGCTCAGGTCGACTCCAAGCGTGGTCCCCCAGTGATAGGTGCCACCTGGGCAATAAGTCAGTGCCATCCGTGACATTTCCTGGTCTACTAAATATTCCACGCTCAACTGTTATGTGGATTATAACAAAGTGGAAGCCACAGAGAAACAACACCACTCAGCCCACCAAGTGTTGGAACCACGTCACAATGACAGGCGGGGTCAAAACGCATGCTGAAGCGCACAGTGTGCAGAAGTTGCCAAACTGTCTGCAGAGTCAAAGTAGCTAAAGAACCTCCAAACTTGTGGTGTGGCCCTCAGATGAGCCCAACAACAGTGTGTAAACCCAGAGCTTCATGGAATGGGTTTCCATGGCCGAGCAGCTGCATCCAAGCCTTCCATCACCAAGTGCAATGCAAAGCGTTGCATGCCGTGGTGTAAAGCACCCGCCAACTGGACTCTTAGATACAGATACGAGACGTGTTCACATGGAGTGATCAATCACGCTTGTTCTCTGTTCGCAATCTGATGGACGTGTCTGGGTTTTTGTGGCGGTGGCCAGGAGAACGTTACTTGCCTGACTGCAACCCCCTTGTGCCAAGTGTAACATTTGGTGGAGGGGGGATTATGGTGTGGGGTTATTTTTTCAGGAGTTGGGACTTGGCCCCCTAGTTCCAGTGAAGGGAACTCTTAAGGCGACATTTTGGAACGATTTCATGCTCCCAACTTTGTGTGGGAAGAGTTTGGGGATGGCTCCTTCCTGTTCCAACATGACTGCCCACCCAGTGCACAAAAGCAAGGTCCATAAAGACATGGAGGAGCCAGTTTGGGGTGGAGGAACTTGACTGTCCTGCACAGAGTCCTGACCCACAACCCCATAGAACACCTTTGGGATGAATTAGAGTGGCAGACTGCGAGCCAGGCCTCCTCCCCCGACATCAGTGCCTGACCTGACAAATGTGCTTCTGGAAGAAATGGTCCAACCTTCCCATAGACACCCTCCTAAACCTTGTGGACGGCCTTCCTAGAAGAGTTGAAGCTGTTATATCTGCAAAGGGCGGGGCCAACTCAATGTTGAACCCTACGGACTAAGACTGGAGAGCCATTAAAGGTCATGTGCGTGGAAAGGGCGGGGCCAACGCAATATTGAACCCTACGGACTGAGACTGGTGGTCCATTGCAATTCATGTGCGTGGAAAGGGTGGGCCAACTCAATATTGAACCCTACGGACTGAGACTGGGGGGCCATTGCAATTCATGTGCGTGGAAAGGGCGGGGGCCAACTCAATATTGAACCCTACGGGGACTGAGACTGGAGGGCCATTGCAATTCATGTGCGTGGAAAGGGCGGGGCCAACTCAATATTGAACCCTACGGACTGAGACTGGGTGGCCATTGCAATTCATGTGCGTGGAAAGGGCGGGCCAACTCAATATTGTACCCTAACGGACTGAGACTGGGGGGCCATTGCAATTCATGTGCGTGGAAAGGGCGGGGCCAACTCAATATTGAACCCTACGGACTAAGACTGGGGGGCCATTAAAGGTCATGTGCGTGGAAAGGGCGGGGCCAACTCAATATTGAACCCTACGGACTAAGACTGGGGGGCCATTAAAGGTCATGTGCGTGGAAAGGGCGGGGCCAACTCAAATTGAACCCTACGGACTAAGACTGGGGGGCCATTAAAGGTCATGTGTGCGTGGGAAGGGCGGGGGCCAACTCAATATTGAACCCTACGGACTACGACTGGGGGGCCATTAAAGGTCATGTGTGTGGAAAGGGCGGGGCCAACTCAATATTGAACCCTACGGACTAAGACTGGGGGCCATTAAAGGTCATGTGTGTGGAAAGGGCGGGGCCAACTCAATATTGAACCCTACGGACTAAGACTGGGGGCCATTAAAGGTCATGTGTGTGGGAAGGGCGGGCCAACTCAATATTGAACCCTACGGACTAAGACTGGGGGGCCATTAAAGGTCATGTGTGTGGGAAGGGCGGGGCCAACTCAATATTGAACCCTACGGACTAAGACTGGGGGCCATTAAAGGTCATGTGTATGGGAAGGGCGGGGCCAACTCAATATTGAACCCTACGGACTAAGACTGGGGGGCCATTAATGGTCATGTGTGTGGGAAGGGCGGGGCCAACTCAATATTGAACCCTACGGACTGAGACTGGGGGGGGCCATTGCAATTCATGTGCGTGGAAAGGGCGGGGCCAACTCAATATTGAACCCTACGGACTGAGACTGGAGGGCCATTGCAATTCATGTGCGTGGAAAGGGCGGGGCCAACTCAATATTGAACCCTACGGACTGAGACTGGGGTGGCCATTGCAATTCATGTGCGTGGAAAGGGCGGGGCCAACTCAATATTGTACCCTACGGACTGAGACTGGGGGGCCATTGCAATTCATGTGCGTGGAAAGGGCGGGGCCAACTCAATATTGAACCCTACGGACTAAGACTGGGGGCCATTAAAGGTCATGTGCGTGGAAAGGGCGGGGCCAACTCAATATTGAACCCTACGGACTAAGACTGGGGGGCCATTAAAGGTCATGTGCGTGGAAAGGGCGGGGCCAACTCAATATTGAACCCTACGGACTAAGACTGGGGGGCCATTAAAGGTCATGTGCGTGGGAAGGGCGGGGCCAACTCAATATTGAACCCTACGGACTAAGACTGGGGGGCCATTAAAGGTCATGTGCGTGGAAAGGCGGGGCCAACTCAATATTGAACCCTACGGACTAAGACTGGGGACCATTAAAGGTCATGTGCGTGGGAAGGGTGGGGCCAACTCAAACTAATGAACCCTACGGACACTAAGACTGGGAGGCCATTAAAGGTCATGTGTGTGGAAAGGGCGGGCCAACTCAATATTGAACCCTACGGACTAAGACTGGGGGGCCATTAAAGGTCATTGTGTGGAAAAGGCGGGGCCAACTCAATATTTGAACCCTAACACGGACTAAGACTGGGGGGCCATTAAAGGTCATGTGTGTGGGAAGGGCGCGGGCCAACTCAATATTGAACCCTACGGACTAAGACTGGGGGGGCCATTAAAGGTCATGTGTGTGGGAAGGGCGGGGCCAACTCAATATTGAACCCTACGGACTAAGACTGGGGGGGGCCATTAAAGGTCATGTGTGTGGGGAGGGCGGGGCCAACTCAATATTGAACCCTACGGACTAAGACTGGGGGGCCATTAAAGGTCATGTGTATGGGAAGGGCGGGGCCAACTCAATATTGAACCCTACGGACTAAGACTGGGGGGCCATTAATGGTCATGTGTGTGGGAAGGGCGGGGACAACTCAATATTGAACCCTACGACTAAGACTGGGGGGCCATTAAAGGTCATGTGTGTGGAAAGGGCGGGGCCAACTTAATATTGAACCCTACAACAGGACTAAGACTGGGGGGCCATTAAAGGACATGTGTGTGGGAAGGGTGGGGACAACTCAATATTGAACCCTACGGACTAAGACTGGGGGGCCATTAAAGGTCATGTGCGTGGAAAGGGCGGGGCCCAACTCAATATTGAACCCTACGGACTAAGACTGGGAGGTCATTAAAGGTCATGTGTGTGGAAAGGCCAGCGGCCCAATACTTTTGGCAATATTGTGTATTTCCTCCCTCCAATACACGTTGCTTCCAGGACATGCAATACTTTGTAACTGAAACCGTGTTCCATTACATGTGCCCTGTACTGTATGACTAGGATAAGTGGTTCCCTCAGCAGGGAAATCCATGTTTAGGTGGGAAGAGGAACGCTTCTGTTACTTTGTTGCTGACTGCAGTAGGTTACAGATGGTCCAGTGCAGCAGACAGTCCTCAGGCAGTGATTCCATGTTCCTGGAGATGCTGTCAGTCCAGCCATTACAGGGAGTAATAATCGATCAGAAAAGTATGAATCCCGTGTCAGACAGGATTGTTCTCTCTTGCAGATAAATCCTCTTCAGCAGCTTCTACACTTCTCCTCACATTGGCATATTTGTGTACTCCCATTGTGAGGAATGGGGTGCCCGACCCCCGCCAGCCCGGTCTCACCAACTCGTGACACAGGACCAGCCGATCTCGCACCGCGTTGTCACCTCATAACGATGCCATTCTCAGCTGAGGCCCGGCACAAAGATTTTCCAGCTTGCGGGGACACAATTTACGTGTCTGCAGCCTGAGAGCGATTGTCCCTGGGTCAGGTAACTACGCAATTAACCCTTCACACTGCCGCCACATAGTGTGGACCATCAACCCTTCAATGTCAGCAAGAAGAAATGTGACCAAACAGCGTCTGCAACACACACTGCCACCATAGACAGAGGATTATATACAGGGACACTCTTCCAGGGACGGGGATATCAGAGGATTATATACAGGGACACTCTTCCGGGGACGGGGATATCAGAGGATTATATACAGGGACACTCTTCCGGGGATGGGGATATCAGAGGATTATATATACAGGAGCACTCTTCCAGGGACAGGGATATCAGAGGATTATATATACAGGAGCACTCTTCCGGGGACAGGGGGGATATCAGAGGATTATATATACAGGAGCACTCTTCCGGGGACGGGGATATCAGAGGATTATATATACAGGAGCACTCTTCCAGGGACAGGGATATCAGAGGATTATATATACAGGAGCACTCTTCCAGGGACGGGGATATCAGAGGATTATATATACAGGAGCACTCTTCCAGGGACGGGGATATCAGAGGATTATATATACAGGAACACTCTGCCAGGGACGGGGATATCAGAGGATTATATATACAGGAGCACTCTTCCAGGGACAGGGATATCAGAGGATTATATATACAGGAGCACTCTTCCAGGGACAGGGATATCAGAGGATTATATATACAGGAGCACTCTTCCAGGGACAGGATATCAGAGGATTATATATACAGGAGCACTCTTCCAGGGACAGGGATATCAGAGGATTATATATACAGGAGCACTCTTCCAGGGACGGGGATATCAGAGGATTATATATACAGGAGCACTCTTCCAGGGACGGGATATCAGAGGATTATATATACAGGAGCACTCTTCCAGGGACAGGGATATCAGAGGATTATATATACAGGAGCACTCTTCCAGGGACGGAGATATTAGAGGATTATATATACAGCAACACTCTTCCAGGAACAGGGATATCAGAGGATTATATACAGGAACACTCTTCCAGGGACGGGGATATCAGAGGATTATTACACACAGGAGCACTCTTCCAGGGACGGGGATATCAGAGGATTATTACATACAGGAGCACTCTTCCAGGGACAGGGATTCTTTAGTTTGCATTAAAAGCTTTAGAGACAGTGTCACGAGTTCACCCACATGCCACGCCCACAGCGACTAGCTAACCGAG